TATTTAATATATACAGGGTGTCCCGTGAGGATTTACCCAGTGCAATATCTCCAGAAATAATGGTGATATCGAAATTCTGGTTTGTAATAAGACTCACAGGGATCAGAACTACAATTATTTCATTTTTAATTTATTTTAACGTTTTGGTAAAAAAGTTAAAAAATATATTTCTTTATTTAATTATTTCCAAAAAWATTAAAGATAGCCATTTTGTAGAGTTTATTTTTCTGAAGATTGACGTTTCAAAATTTTATTTTCATTAATTTCCTGATTTTTAATACTTTTTTAATTTCGAGAAAAATTGCGAATCATTTAACACCGTAATGTTATCAAACATGTGACCCGCCGCGCTGCGCGCATTCCCATACGACCGGCCGAATACCTTCCGTGTTCTTATAATAGTTATAAACTATAATCATATTTTATTTCTTCAAAACTAGAAAAAATATTAAAAATCAGGAAATTMATGAAAATAAAATTTTGAAACGTAAATATTTTCAGAAAAATAAACCCTATAAAATGGCTATCTTTAATATTTTTGAAAATAATTAAATAAAAAAATATATTTTTACATTTTGTACAAATAAATTTAAAATAAATTTAAAAATGAAATAATTGTAGTTCTCATCCCTCTGAATCTTATTATAAAACTAGAATTTTAATATTTCTATTATTTCGTGAGATATCGCAATGGGTAAATCCTTGCAGGACACCCTGTATACATTATACACAGACTTATTACTTTTATGGTTTTAACTTATAAATGGTTAATCAATGACAAATAAGAAAATGTACAAGAATACAAAATATTAACTATATGTAAAGTTATAAAGAAGAGATAAGATGATAAATGCATGAACGATAGTTTTACAATCCGCATCATTCTTGATCACACCATGTATTTTATGTCCTATAGTGTTGTGTGCACAAATAGTAATTTAGCAATTGATATTGACAAATGGAATTATGTGTATTTTTTTTTGAACTCGCTTACATACCTACAAACTTTCACTATTCTATAAATTCTACTCTATAGTTCCAGACGTTCCAGTCTCCACTAGAAAAAATTTGGGTGTTATTTTCTTTACCGATTTATCGTTTATAATGATTATATTAATTATATTTGTGATAAATTCATGAAAATGTTTTGGTTTATAAGTTGTAACCGATGGGCAATGACGTACCTATTTAGTGAGGGGAGTTGGGCCGCGGGTGGTAAATTCTTAGGTGTGGTAAATTTCGGAGAACATTTTGATATAATACGATACCTAGGTTATTTGGGGGATAAAAATAGTAATGACACTCAGATACTAATAAACTATCATATTTTATTTTACAAATACAGCACTTATTGTTAAAGACATTTAAGTTGGAAGGAGGCGTTTTTTTTCTTTCCTGAGACACAACATTTCTAAATACGTCTCTGGTCGTAACACCTTATTGTTTTCTCTGACATTTTCACATTAAACACCCTTTATGTGACATTGGTTAGCTTGGTGCTCGAATACGTTACTATATTACATTTGATCTCTGCATAAAATATCCCATTTGGCCATATTAATCGATTAAATTAAGTAAAAAACAAATTCT